TAATAATAATAATAATAATAATAATAATAATAATATAAATAATAATAACAATAAGTTAAGAAATAGTTTTAAAATATGAAGAAATCATTTGTAAAATGGCTCTGGCCCGATGAAAATGGACGTAAAATATCACAAGATTTCAAAACGTATCATATATTTTAAAATACGTAAATACGGTAAATATCAATATTTAATTTATAGTTTGAGTTCTTACGGAGTAGATTTACGAAATGTACTTTTTGATTGGTATTTTAACTTGTTTGTTTTGAGTCAAGTTATGGAAAAATATTCTCAATAAAGTTGTACTATCATGGTTTTATACAGTCATCACATATGTTTATTATTGACATTAGAGTTTTATTAATATATTAGTAATTTATTGGTATCTATAGACACCATATTTTTGACGAAGTAAGTCACTTGCGCCTATCACACAATTTTTATAGTCCATTTGCGTCCGAGATCATAACACATTTGTGACCCAAATATTTTTAATAAAAACCGTGTAAAGTAGCCAAACTGTATAATTTCATGATTGGGCACTTGTATAATATTATTTACCAATTAACTATTTTTAGTTTTTACGTTACATCCTTATCGATATTATCGAATATTGGTCCTTTTTATTTAAATTGCATTTCATGATAATTCTCACTTCTTTCTGTGAACCTTAACATATAGTATTCCTAGTACCTACTAATTATTTTGCAGTATTACACTTATAAGTTATAATCAATTTTAAAATAACAAATATTACGAAAAGCCATGGGTGTTTAAGTTTTAGTGACTAAAAATTTTACTTGGTAGAATTTTGGTTTCGGGAGATATAAGTTAGCGTTGCGTTAAAATAATCATTCAAAGTCTACATTAATCGATATTAAAGACATTCACAACCATGAACCAAATACTATTAAAGATTAAAACTTTCTGAAAGTTAGAGAATATCCATATTATGAAATGTCAACGCTGTATATGAATAGGCGCATATGGGCTATAAACCAACAGGCAGTATCTCATATTTTGGGAGCAACTGTCCACATCCAGGGGCGGCTCATCAGAGGAGACTTTGAAACTGCGTATCCCCTTAAAAAAAGAACAGCTACTTGTAAATAATAACTATTTAAAAATGCATAGAAATATTTTTATTTTTATTGAAAATATGCTATAGCGGTTTCTATATTTATAATTATAAATTTAAGGCCAAAAAAATATAAAACCTATAATTGGTTATTTCGATAGGAATACTATTTTAGTGATTTTGATAATGGCTGCCGTTTCAGTGAAATTGACGTCCAACCGATTCAATCGTAATATGTAATGGCTTGGTTTAATGGATGGAGGGGGCCGGGTAGAATATTCCGCTTATTATAGATTCTATTTAAACTGGGTTCACGAAAAAAATTTCCGTGCCGTCTTTAGTCGCTGTACACCGTCATCTACGAATTCGCAGATAAAAAAAAATTGCAGAATTGAATTAGTTTATAGAAAAATTTACTATTAAATTAAGTTAAAAATATTAACTAAATATTAAATCAAGCAATAAGTACAATTAATTTTTCAATAAAAGGGTTTTTCTTGTTCGTTGTTGATGGAGTTTATATTAAATAATTTAAGTCTCCCTAGAATATTTACTACGAGCCGTTACTGTCCACATCTTTCGGGGCTCAATAGACTGTACCCATTTTTGATACGTAGTTGTTGATATTCTTATACTGAAACGCTACTGTAATATAATAATGGTTCAGTTAAAAAAAAAAAAAATAAAATTTTAATACATTTCTTTTAAATTACTTCAACGTAAGAACTCATATTAAATAAATCTGATAAAATATACATGGAATCTGTATCGGTATTATTTTATAAATGATTTTTCACAATATCGTCTCTTGTTGTAATAAGCAAAATGGTCGTATGTATAAATAATATAATATGTATAATAACGTACGTATGCACGTTCATTATACAATTTATAACAATGAGAAGAAGATACACATAATTTGGTGAATTAAAAACAACATTTTATTTTTTATAAAAAACCATGGTTATTGCAGTGCTTGAAAAAAAAAAAAAGAAAAAAAGGCAGAGGATAAATTATATTAATCAACAATAGTTTGTGCGACACAGAACATGTGGGCTCATTACATGAATTGCATGACACAAACATATTTACAAAATATGAAGATAAATTAAAAAAATAATAATTATGATAATAACCATAATAAATATAAATTTCTAACACGTTACACTAAAACACAAATATTATTACGCTTAAGACTATCAACAGAGAGTTACAGTTTTAATTGATCTTTTTTTCTTACATTAACATATACTATATACAAATATAATATTATAAATAATATTAGTTCTTAACTACTTATAAATATTTGAAAAGCACCTAGCTAATGTATAGTTATTAACATTTTTTATAGTAAGAATTATCAATACTAGTATACATAACAATATAATAATCTATTTATAGAAATAGATAATTTTATTAGAAACATAATTTCCTTCACACATAGCACACTTATCTAGTTAATGAGTTTTAGCAAATACTATAATAATATGTTACATATATTATAATTATTATAATTGTTTGTTTAAAATTAATTACCAATTGTAAATTGAGTATTAACATATTCGTATCGTTTATATAAAGTTTCTTAGGCAACTATAAGTCTTATCATTTTGGGCTAGGCGTAAATTAGTTTGCGGCGGAAATTGGAATCATATCGAACATAGTTATGTAGTGCTCGTAGATATGGTTCAGAGAATGTCCTGTAAGAAGAAAAAATGAACAAATTAAATATTATGTATAGTGTGTGTGTGTGTTTGTGATATGGTAATACCATAATATTAACACTATTTATTTTGTATATTAAAATAGAATACAATCATACAATTATATTTAAATTTATAATAATTTTAAATTCATAAATAAAAAAAGATTTTCATTATTTAACACATCTTGGTCTGGATGTGAATATAAAAAGTTTGATTTTAAATTATGAATTTAACTACACCATTGATAACGTGTTTTATTTATAAACAGAAAGATAATACAAAATTAATAATTAATAATTAATAATTTCTACAATTATAATGCGATTTAAATGCTTAAGACGTGTTGATGCATACAGAACTCGACAAATGTATATAGTTAATTACTTTTATATAATGTGACTTATATTATTCACATTTAATGGAAATACGAGTTATTGAAAATATACTGTTCATTAAGATGCAAACTAATATTTACTCGTAATTCAAATTTCTTCCTACAAGTTATGAAATAATAGATAATGGCATTAAACTTCAACTTGATTAATTATACGAGTTACAAAGGTTTTTGATATAGTGTATAATTTTTTTAGTATAAAAGGGTCGAAAATAAGCTCTCAAAGTCTTAAAAGAATGTACTTAAGGCGTTTGGACAAGTATCCTTTGACAATGCTCCTTTATTTTTTATTATATTTTTTATTCGAAGATCTTCGAGCGGGACCGATTTTCTTTTGAATATCCATTTTCATGGTTAACATCACAGAGGGTGGGGTGATAAGCTTTTGTTTCAATACTTATTTTTTTTTCAAACAGTAAGATCATAGGCGTAAATAGTATTTGAAATTTGGGTGGGGGCTAAAGCTCAGGTCTATACTGGATACTTTTACATCATAATAAAACATGTAGTGGAATCATTAGTTTTTGGGGGACTATAGAAACTCTAAGAGGCTATTCCGCATATTTTACATATTTTACTAATATTTTTCAAGAATATTATAAGATTTTATTCAAGTTTTTAAGAGAATATAATCCATGCTCAACTGATAAACAAACAAACATAAAGTTATAAAACAAAAAAGTTTAAAATAAAAAAAAAATATTTTTTAAAAACAATTTATATAATATTTTTCTATATTCCTTGAAAGGATGATTTAAAAATGTATACTGTGAGCTTCTCTTATCGCAATTTTTAATATTTAACGAACCTATAGTAAAAGTATAATTTACATAAGAAATCTGTGATTTAAATGAATAATTTCCAGACAGTAAATCGCTTTTCCTAAGTTGAAGGAAAAGATAAATTTTTTTTACAAAATCTTACTTTTTTCACAGTAATTATCCCTTATTTTTCTTAACTCAAAAATGGGTAACAGGAATTTTATTCTGAAACCCCTTTAATCTTTAGATATTTTGATCCATAACAACGACAATAACATTTATCTGTTCTTAATAAGGTGCAACAGAAATAAAGTATATAATTTATAAATACACCATCCCGAATTGCATAGGTATACAGATTTCGTGACTATTAGTATTAAGCAAAGTATATATGTACGAATGTGTATTTGCGTGTGTTTGTGTATGTGTATGTATCCTGGTTACAATAATCCTAAGGATTTTTTGCATCCAAAAATATTGGTCATTTTAAAACCCCTGGGTTTTGTTCGTTTTTTTCTAGATTTTATGAATGAATGTGGCACAATACGACGCTAGATTTTATGCTTTACCTTCCCACCAAATTTTTCGGCCTTACCGTAATCACTTGTTTGTAAAGAGAATACCTATAGTTTAACATATAATTGTTATATAAATAATTATATAATATATAGGTACACACACATATATATATTACGTTGTAATACCGAAAATGATTCAGTTATCATGTGTTTGGTGTTTATAAAATATCGTATTTTCACTGGGCGACAAACCATTTTTTTCTCAAAGTAGCCAATAAACAATAGTATGATGATAGTACTATAAGTTCGCTCCTCATAATTTCGCTAGTTTTTCAAAGTACTATCAATTAGGCGATAAAATATTTTCACTGGTTGATATTTGTGTCACTTAGTTAACTAATTAAAAAAATGCACTGGTATTTTATCATGTGAATTTTTTTTTCTGAGTAATGTTAATAAGAATCGTCGTAGTCCCGAATTATGCTGGCAAAATCCATGTGATATTTATATTAGTACGTGCCATATTTCAAAAGCGTTTTTTTTCTTTTTGAAATTTTTCGTGAAATTCGGTTTTTAAAATTATTTTGAGATTCGTTTTGGACTAGTGTAATGCTATGCTATTGTTGTAGTAATATTTTTACATATTGTTCATATAAAACCGCAAGTAGTCTTATACTTTAAACTAATTCCTACGACTTTCAATTATGGCATACAATTGAATTTAATTTTTATTTATTTTAACTAAACCAAATATAATTTAATACATAAATTATATTATAGTAGTTGATACTTGTACCAACTGAGTTATAGCTCATATCCGGTATACGGAGTTCATGGATATGTCATTTGTTTTAGAATGAAAACATACTTATATAATTAAAAAATAACTAAATTAAAACCTAACATAATAGTAGATATTTTAATAATAAAATTAACATCAGAGTTACATAATAATAAGATATTATACCAAACCAAATTTACTTTTTATAATTTTATTAATACACACATTTTCATTAAATTCAATAAATATTTCATTGATTACTTTTATTATTTTATTTATGTTATTTATATGTTCAGACCATTTTAGATTAAAATGAATTGTAATTCTTAAATCTTTGAAAGATAATACTATTTGAATTGGTTTACAACTACAATTTGCTATATAAGTTCCTCATATATGTATTAAAAAGTTATATCCAATCAAAAGCTATGAACGAATTCTTACTATTGATATGTAAACTAATTTATTTATATTCAGTGACAAAATATTTTTTTCCATCCAGTCATAGATATACCGTAATTCAATTTTAATAATTTGTTTTAACTTTTCCAAGAAACTATAGCCCAGGTATTTCCTTTTATTCTTGATTCCCTAAAAAATTTTTTTATTGATTGCTGTAAAACTTTAATTTATATTTATACGTTGACTTTTGTATTCGATTATACCTCTTTTATTGATAAATTCGTTGCATTTCCTCCTTGATTTCAATTTGACAATTATCAATGGCTTATCCAGATTTCAGTTTGATAGTTTGCGATAAACATTTTCAATATCAAATACGTTCAGATATATTTCTAATGTATTAGCAATGTCATGAATTTTCTATATTTTCCTCTTTTTTTTCTTTCAGACACCACTTATTTCACCATATTAAGATTTATTGTTTTTCTCCAATGTATTAATCTTAAACTCCAGGATTTAAATTATTTTATCTTTTTCTTTTAATGATGTTTCCAATTGAATAACACGATTTTTAAGTGCCTCTAGTGAATTAGTTTTAGTTAACTGACTTCTTGGGATATAATCCAATAAATTTATAATGGATTTTTATTTTTTTCTAATGTAGTTGGTATTATATTTTCTTTTGTCTTTGAGGGGTCTTTAATCGGAGTATCATCATGTCGATTAGTTTTCACTTGGTTGGTACATTCATTGCAATTGTATTTTTTCGGCTAACAGTTTGATGATATTCAAGGCTATCTTTATCCCTTTTTGAGCCTTTCATGTATGTAACAGTATAACATGTGTCACATTGTACATTGTCTTCTTTATGAACGATTGATATTTGACACTTAGGACAACATCATATTTTAACATGTTGGTATAAACAGTTAGTAATGAACAACGCACACGTCTTAACAAATGACATATCGTAACTGAATATATAATGTAATATATAAAAATATAAAGCTTGTTTATATATGTACTATATTTGTTGGATTTTATAATAATCGAATGATTGTGATAACAAATTTTTATCTTCAAGATACCTATTTTTTTGTATTTTTTTTCTTTTCGATGTTGAAAAATACGATACTTTTGACGTTTTTTACGTTCAATCGATACACGAATAATATGAAAAATACTCATAACATAAATTGCATAGAAATAAACGATGTATATTAATTATTGAAATTATATTGTATATTTCGATAGAAATTAATAATCAGAAAAATAATGGCTATTAATAATGTTAATGTCTGTAGTGATTATAGTAAATCTAGTCAAAAGGTATTTCTATAGGTAACCAATAATTATACACATTAAAACCATATCAAATTATACTAATAAATTGTATTTTATCATACTTAAACGGCAATATATTTATAAGCAATACATTTACTTTTTTTAAAAATATATAACATACGTTACTAAATTTTAGAGAGTAATAAAAATAAATTTCTAAAATACCGGGTGAATAATGATACAATAGTAAATTTAATATATTTTTCAGTCGTAAATTTATTTTGGTAGTTTTTAGAAAATTATTATAATGTATTTTCACTTATCGCAATTAATGCGTGGTAAACAACATGTGCAGTTCAAACATAATTAAAATACACATTGATTATAAAAAATTATTACAGGGATATTAATAATAACATTGCATCGAATATGACAGTACACTTTCTAGACTTTGAAAAAAAATGAAAGTTTATGCTGATGTTACATTAATGGGGCTGTTGTAGTTTTCAAATTTAATTACGAGTATAACTATTCTGACACATGAAAAAAGTAATATAAACAGTACAGTATCTATGTGGATTGGTAAATTCTATATCGTCCAATATTCACAATTTTGAATTTTTGTTTAATATTAAAGAAAAATAAAATAATTTTAAAATTAGATACCTTATTAAATTAAAAAAATAATGAACCGTGGAATTTATAATATTTTCAAACTTAATACGGAAATGATCTACACATATTTCATAATAAAATGGTTTTTTGTTATTTCTACAAAATATTGTGAATACTCGAAATAATTTATCTTGTAGAATACATATTATGTAGTAAATTAAGTATGCTTTTTGTATAAC